CGCCAGATAGAATGTTTACATTTCCCCCTTTTTTGCAGGGCTCCACTGGGTCTTTCTACTTCAGTTCTTAGCAGTACTTTTGGTCATGCTTTAGTTGTATCGGTATGGAAGATAATTAAAGTCTTGGCATCTGCAACAATGCAGTAAGGATAAATCTGTAGCAGCAGAAGAAATGAGACCTTGTCTCAGAAGAAAAAAGCATTCTTCTGTAGAGCAGAAGAAAAAAGACACCAGCATTTGAGCAAATGGATCTCTCCAACATGTCCTCCACTGTAGTAAAAATACATCATTGCTTTGCACCTGCTCAGACCAGATGGAGGCTTCTATGAAGAGGATTGAATTAAAGATGAATGCATTAAAGATAGCAGCTTGACAAAAACACTGTGTTGTAATAGGTGATTTTAACTACCCACACATTGATTGGGTCAATATGTGTTCTAGTCGAGAAAAAGAGATTGAGTTTCTAGACACTCTAAATGACTGTGCTATCAAATCCGTCTTTTTTAAGCTTTGCTTAAAAAGGGAAATGTTTACGAGTGAGAAAGGGGAAGTGCTTTCAACCAGTTTAGCAGAGTTGACTTTCCAATGTTATGAAACAGGACAACAGCTACCCTGTTAGGGAGGCCCCTGCATGAGATCTCAGAGCCTTGCCTGCAAAAATTCAGAGACGGCTTTATCATTCTAGGTGACTCCATGCACTGCAAAGGCTATCCAGCTTGTTGCTCCACAGCTGAGATCACAAGAATAAGAGGGTTATCTGTCCTTCAGTGGGTAGGGTTGCAGACTGGGCTGGGAAGGTATTGGAGATTTGAGGATAGAGTTTGGGGTGTGGGTGGGATATGGGAAAGGGAAGGGCCGTGGCTTAGTGGCAGAGCATCTACTTGGCATGCAGAAGGTCTCTGGTATCTCCAGTTAAGTGATCTGGCAGTAGGTGATCTAAAAGACCTCTGTGAGACCTTGGAGAGCCGCTGTCAGAGTAGACAATACTGACTTTGATGGACTAATGGGTCTGGTTCAGTCATGATGATAAGGCAGTTTCATGTGCTCATCTGTGAGGGACCGCAACAGGGTATAATGCCATGGAGTCCACTCTCCCAAAGCAGCTGTTTTCTTCAAGGGAACTGACTTCTATAGTCTGGAGATCAGATGGAGGCTCTCCCTGGAAACTGGCAGCCACAAGTGAGCCACAAGTAAGGGCTGCCTGCGAGGTCATGAGTCTGACAAGTCTGTTTAGGATTGTCATACTTCATAGCCACGACCTGGCAGATACTGCTTTCAGGTGCATAAGACACCCCCAAAGTGGACAATTTGCTTGTGACAGGGAGAGTATTAAGGTTTAACGAGTGTTAGAGGCAGAGTGATGGCTACATAGCATAGGAGGTCTTAGAGCCACACAGCAAGGACAGGTGCATTCAAAAGAACATCTATTTATTAGAAAGGAGATACAGGGATGGGAACAGCTGGTTTCAGGACAAGGGAGCTCATGCAGTCCATAATTTTAACTAGAAAACAGAACTACCCGAGCAGGGGCTCCATTCCACGAGACTAAACCAACATACACAAATATCAGAGTGTTGCATTGTATTGTATACAACAAATGCACCATACAGAAATTCACGTAAGACCATGCACTGTGTCCAGACTGGAAGAGCTGGATATCATCAGCCAGGAAAAACAAGGATTAGTTGGGGGTATATTATAATAGATTTTCAAACACTGGAAAAGGAAAGTTGGAAAAGAGAAAAACCATTGTCCACCCTGTGGTTGAAGGTCAGGAGAAAAAGCAATAATTTCTTTCTTTTTTTAATAATCTTTTTATTAATTTTCAAAACAAAACATAACGAAGTGATCGTATATTTTAAACACATCCAAAATAGTTGTCCTACAAGTGATAATAAGTTATTCGTTTCATCTCTCTATTAATTTATCATCTTGTTAATTTTACAAATCACGTATTTCATATATCTCCACATAGCTCCCCCCAAAAATTATTCTATTGAGTTTATTAAGTTATCAAATATCTTCCTACGGAGCTATATTTAAAATATTGAATACCTAGATAATTATAAGCCATTTCATTGAAGATAGATTAATAAATTAAAGCCAATCTAGATCTAACTATTCTCACCTGACCTGTATCTCCTATACCCTTACTAACAAGATCTCAGTTATTATCAAACCTATTTATATTACTTTAGCAAACATTAACAATCCCAGCAAGAGACAAAAAACCCCTTCATTTACTCCGTCTTTTATATTTCCAATTTTAGTCATTTTTATCACTTCCGGCCCCCTCTTAACAACCCCCCCCCAACCAAACAAGACAAACAGGTAAATTCATATCTAGCATAAAAAGAGTTATATCATGAAAAATCTCTTTAAATATTTAATTATACTCCTCCCATATTGATATTCATTGTCTTATTTTTAAGGATTTTTTAAAAAGTTTTTAAAGACCAATATCTTTACATTTTCTTTTTCTTAGACCAATTTAAAAGGGGGGGGGGACACACCCTGTTTTTATCTATTTCTTACTCAACATAAAACCTCGTAGTTCATTCAAACCTACCTTTTAACTTCATAATTATCATTCCCTCTAACACCCATACAATAGTGAAACATTTATACCAAACCACCTATTTAATCTCCCACCTCATATTTCAGTCTCCCACCACAAACTAAATCTATACATAATTTCTCATCATTGCCCAATCCTATCTCAAGAAACCATCATTTATCAGATTGGAAAATTATATTACACTATATATTGCTCTTGTCTCATGTTTTCCCCCCTTTCTATTTTCTCGTCCTTTTTTCCAATCTCTTTTCGGTGTCTAAAATTTTTGTATTCCTGAAATCTTGGTTTCAATCTTAGCCTTTTCTTTTCCCAAGTATCATTTGTCAGTCTCTTAGGGCTTTTAAAGTTTTTTCCAACATCTCTTGTTTCCCTATTTTTGGTTGCTTTCTTTCTCTTTTGTACAAAGATGTTTAAAGAGTATCCTTTTTTTGCTCCTTTCTTTAATTTCCATCTTGTTTGATCGCTCTTCAGGTATTTTCCATAAATATCTGGATCACCAGCAACAGTTTGCATAGTCACTGATTTCTTATTCAATGGCTCCCTCTCCTGGCCACATTCCTGCAATTTAGATACGACTTGCATACATATACTAGATTCTCTAATACTTTCTGTGCCTACTGATTCTCTCCGATGTTCTTCGAATAGATTCTTACACATTGTTTCAATTGTTTGCTTAATTGTTTTTGACAGAAATCTTTTAAATTGCTCATATGTGAGATCTTCCACTAGCGTATTTAAAACCCACTCTTCCTCTTCCTCAAAAGTCACCATTTTCTTCCTTCACCACAGGTGTTACTTTTAACTTATAACTCTTTTAAATATTGTTTGTTAAGTATTTACCAACCTTAGAGTATAACTTTCAAGTTATCTAATTGTCAATATTCCTACAGAACAGCTTAATTTTTCAGTTCTTACCCCCTCCTCTTCAAAACCCCTGTCCTTTCCGTAGCCATTCTCTCCAGCGTTTTTGGGGTAATTGCAGGGGGTTTCTTCCAGGTTCTGTACGTGATAAAAAATCCTCTTCGACTTAGACTCACATGGACTTTCTTTTCTTATTGTGATGTGTTGCTTGCAAATCATGATGGAAGTTTAAAACCGGCTGGTCGCTGCTGAGGAAATCATGGCAGCAGCCATGGTTTTCTCCCTTCCACGCTCCCACGTCGGGGCACAATGCCAACACACCCACGATTCGCTGTCGCCAGGGGCGGGCAAAGAAGCCCCTTGCAACTCTGTCACCCTCCAGGAAACAGAGCGGAGCTCCCTCATTCTGTAAGGGGCCCCAAAAGAAACACAGAGGGAATCGGCCGGCTCGGAGCAAGCTGAGACATGTCCGCTCGCGCGCCACACCGGATGTCCTCCCAAAAAAGCAATAATTTCTAAATGACTGTACAAGGAAGCAACAATTTAAAAATTGTGAGCAACTTTTCCCCTATAAGAAACCTAAAACAAAGAGCTGTGTGGTATCTTAAAGACCAACTAATTTACTGCCTCTGAAGCTTTCATGTTTAAGAGCTTACTTTGTCTGGTGCATGAAGTAGATAATGAAAATTGTCACTCTTTAGCTTACATAGGAAACTAGAAGGGCATAACGGCCCTGGTTAGTAGCTGGATGGGAGACCACCAAGGAAGTCCAGGGTCACTACACAGAGGCAAACAATGGGCTGTTCCGCATTATCATTTTTGTCACTTGTGTGTCCCTATTGCTTCCTCCTCCCCCCCTTTTCCACACGTGTTTTGCTTCCTCTAGTGGTCAATTCGATATTACGTCACTGTGTGCCTAGCATGAAAATCTGCCATTTAAATCTGCAAGGAGATATGCTGGACCCACACCGATGTAATACTAAAGCAACCACTAGAGGGAGCAAAACATGTGCAGAACAGGAAAAAGAATCCCAAAGCAATAAGGATACACAAACAACGAAAATGAGAATGCCGAAGAGCTCTGTGGCAAACCCACCTCTGTTCATCTCTTGCCTTGAAAACCCTATGGGGACACCATCAGTCAGCTGCAACTTGACAGCGCGTTACACACACATAGTCATCTAAACAGTCCAACGGCCTGAAAAAGCCAGAGGTAAAGAAAAGTGATCAGCAGTTAATGCTACAACACAACTCATCTGAGCTTGGGTTCTCCATGAGCAGGTAGGTGGAGCCTGGCCCAGTGGCAACGGTGGATTCCATCCCAGCACTGCACTGTTTGGTCTCTCTTCCATCTCCAGCTGTTATCTTTTTGTGCTTACAGTGAGTGAAGAAAACGTGCTGTGTGTGGGGGAGAAAAAAGCTCTGATTAAGATGGACTAAAGCAGTGACTCCTAACATGACACACATGCTTGCCGTGGTACCTGCTGATGGCCATGGTACCCTGGTGGCCACTTGCATTTTCTCCAAAATATCTCACTCCCAAATCAAACAGCCCATCCTAGTTTTCCTCCATTCAACGGGAGTAGGAGGTGCTTCAAGAGAATTCAGGAGGGGTCTCCTTTGTTTCTGCAGGGAGCACCCTTTCAGAAACTGCTCTCTCTGCCATAGGATGGCACTCAGTTTGGAACCTCTTAACATTTGTCTTTAGTTCCCCTCCCCATGGCCACCATTTTGTGTGATGCCCAATATCTATTCTCAAAATTCCAAAAGGCACCACTGGGTCAACAAGGTTGAGGACCCCTGGTTAAGGTGATTCTCTTGGAGTCTCTTGCTGTGTATATGTGTGCTTGTACGTATGAATACATGGGCAAGCAAAGAAGGCTGGGAACCTTAACTTTAAGAACAGAAGAACATCAGAGAAACTCTCCTTAATCAGATCTCAGCGTTCCAGCATTCTGCTTATCTGGAAACTGGTTTTGAAAGAAGCCGCGTGTAAGTTGTTAAATTGCGGTGCCCACAGCTGGGCTATCTTGCGAGTCCAAATCCATGTTATTGCAGGACTATGCAACCAGTGCAGAGCCCACATAATACCTGCTTGTCTATTGTGTAATCAGCAGTGATTGCAGAGACTCCATATATCTCCACTCCTCTCTTTCCTAAAGGAAACTGAACGTGTCAACTTGAACTTCCTACCCTAAGGGGAAACGGGAGCACGAAACAGTACAAAAGGCATAGATTAGAGCTGCTGCACAGGGAGAAGGCCTTTACCTCTGCGATGATCAGTCCAAGGAGACAGATGATCATTCCAGCCACACCCAGCCGGATGGAATTGGACACTGTATAGTCCCCATCATCTGCTACTTTCACAAAAGAGACTGGGATATTCGGATCTGCTGCAGAAAGTGATGGGCACCATTACCATCATACAAAATACTTTTAGTTCACAAACATCTGTGAGAAGTCTCTGAAGAGAGCATAAATGCATTCTGGCTCTTCAGGCAGGACTTCCAGGAGTGGAGGGTAGGCACACAAGACCCTGGCAGAGGGGTCACACAACATCCTGGAACCTGAAAATGATTTCTTCCAGAGCACTGTTTTTTGCTCTCTGAGGCCAAACTACACAGGGTGGTCATGGTTTCTGTTGTACCTGCTGACCATCAGAACTTTCTGGAATAATTCTCTAAGAGTGACAACCCCCTTGCTTTGTTACTCCATCGCAGAGGTTTTTCAAACTTTTGGCCTTCAGGAGCAGTTTGCCCCTTGCCATATGCCAAGAACACCCTGTGAGAAGATTCCTGAGTTAGAATTCCATGTACACCAAACGCTACATCCAGATGTAACAGAAATATTTCTCGGGTGAAATACTGGCATCTCCCAGTTACTAATAGTGCAATCTAAAGAACACTTTTCTAGCAGTAAACCCCACTGGACTCACCTGAATTAAGAAGCAGATGTGTTTAGGACTGCTCTGAACAGCACTGATTAACACCCACTAGGTTTGCCATATATCCACTGCGGGTGGGACACACCCCACCCCCAGTTCCCATTGCTCTCCAGCGCTCTGGCAAGGGTTGGACATGGGGGGGGGGGAGTGACATCAGTTGCCTCACTATGTCACTTGCAGGGAAAATCCAGAAGTGACCTAGTGACATTTCTTCTGTCATTGCTCAGAATGGTGAGGCCTGGAGATCTCCCAGAATTACAACTGATCTTCAGACTACAGAGATCTATTCCCATAGAGAATATGGCAGCTTTAGAGAATGGACTTTATGGGATTATACCTGAGTAAAATTTCTGCCCCCCTCTCCGAATCCTCCCCTCTCCAGAAACTTACCCAGCCAGAATCTCCAGAAACTTCCACAGCCCAGGGTTGGCGACCCTAAGGGCATGAACTGTTTTAGAAGAAGAAGTTGGATTTATACTTCACCCTTCACTCTGAGTCTCAGAGAGGCTTACAATCTCCTTTCCCTCCCCCTCCCCACAACAGATGCCCTGTGAGGTAGGTGGGGCTGAGAGAGCTCTGAGGGAACTGTTCTGGAGAGAACAACTCTGAGAGAACTGTGACTGACCCAAGGTCACCCAGCTGGCTGCACATGGAGGCGTGGGGAATAACACCCAGTTCTCCAGATTAGAGTCCACTGCTCTTAACCACTACACCAAACTGGATCTCCATTTTACATTCAGGATAAGATATACTCTAGTACCACATTCATCTCTGGCTCAGTCATCCCCTTTAACTGACACTCTAGCAGCTAGCAGCAGCGCAAATTGCAATAGCCTCAAAGTGGCATTCCAATAAAGTTCCATCAATGTCTTTATGGTCTGAGAAAATATGGAACCAATTCATAATGGGTAAAATAGCAGAAAGTCACAAATATAACATGTTAAGGGGAGATATCGCTGATTTTGCAGAAGGCTGGATGCCAGTCTTGACATATTTTGCCTCATGTGAAATCATTCCAAATAATGTTGAATATAAAAAAATGTTAACTTTCTGACATGATAACATTTTAGTACTTGGCAGTTTATGTTCTTGTTGTTGACTTTTATGCTCCTATTAGACTACTACCAACCAATATATTTATTATCGGCTAATATCCCGTTTAATCTGTTTATCTATTTAATGTGTTATTTTGATTTTTTTTGGTACCCTATTCATGCAAATTTTTCTCTTTAAATTGTTTGTAATTGTATAATAAAATATTTAAAATAAAAAAAAACCCTGACACTCTGAGTTCCGTTTTTTCGGAATGACACTTTTCTACTTCTCCGTTACTTTCCCCTCACACTCTTTATAGGCTCAGGTGGGTAGCCATGTTGGTCTGAAGCAATAGAACAAGCAGAAGTTGAGTCCAGTGGCACTTTCAAGACCAACAGTGTTTAATTCTGGGTATAAGCTTTTGTGTGCACGCACACTTCATCAGATACAGTGTGTGTGCACACGAAAGCTCATGCCTTGAATAAAACTTTGTTGGTCTTAAAGGTGCCACTGGACTAACTTTTCTCCACTCATTGTAGGCCTCCCAGTTCTACCAATATAAGCAGGCCTCTCAACAGCACCTTGAACCACCATGGATGGTAGGATATAAACATTTTAACAACTAAATATTTTTCCACAGATAGATATATTTTTAATGTCTCTTGAGAAAGCTGTAGCTTTTTGATGTCTGTGAATTGAAATCATTGTTAGATAATGGGACGGCCAGGCCACCGGCAAACCCTCTTCATCTACCATTGCTTGGTGGGCCAAGGATGCCAGCCTCCAGGTGGGACCTGGGGATCTCCTGAAATTGCACCTCATCTCCACATGACAGAGATTGGTTCCCCTGGAGAGAATGGATGCTTTGGAAGGGACACTGTATGGCATTGTATGCCACTGAGGTTCCTGTCCTCTACAGGCTCCATCCCCAAATCACCAGGACGTTTCCTAAGCTGGATCCAGCAACCCTAACCCCTCCCCCAATACATGAACAGAGAGACCCTAATCTACCGACCTTTGGTCACAGTTAGGTTGATGTTAGCTGACGAGGTCATGTCCAAAGCCAGCACTGTGACGCTGTAGATCCCAGAATCCTCTGTTCTCACATCCTGGAGTACCAGTGAAGCATCCTCAGCAGACAGCGTAGCTCGTTGCCTGTATCTCTCTGTTGCTTCAATGCTGATCCCGCAGGAGTCCCTCCAGTGTCGGGTTCCAGTCTCTACTGTGCAATTGTTCGCCTTGAGCTTCAGCACCAGCCAGCGGCCAGTGACAAAATGCCACCTCAGCTGGAAGTAATTTGGCACTGACAGGGAAAAATTCAACGAGGCAGGGAGTAAAGCTATATTCCCAGCGGAGATGTAAACTGAAGACTCTGACACGGTCACCAGGTGGGCTGCAGTGGGGCCTGGCAAGAAGCAAACAGGGGGGGAAAGCTAGCAAATGGGGCAGAAGCCTGGTGCTTTCTGCTAGATCGGGGTGGCCAAACTGTGGCAGAGGATTGCCTAGTTAGCCTATCAGGGAGCACCCCAGGAACTACAGTGTGTGCTCAAGAGCCATATTTGAACTGTCAAAGAGCCACATGTGGCTCCCAGGCCACAGTTGGACCACCCTGGTCTCTAGACAAAGCACTAATAAATTCATTAACACTAACATCCATAAATAATTTCCATTCTGTTGACAATGATTGTCATAAATCACTTTATATTTCCTTTCTTTTCTTTTTTTTTGGTAAATCTGTTTATTTTTATTTTTCTTACAATCAAATACATCTGTGTTTTCTTAACAGTTTTTACAAAGTTCAAACAAGATATAGACTTCCTTCATACTTTACAGCAATATGATCATATCAACCTTGTTAGAATATTTTCACATCTCTTTCTCTAGAAAACTTTCTCTTATATATCTTGTATAGCTAGTCTAAATCTCAAATATCTATTTTTTTACGTAAAATAGATATTTCCTTTCTTGAGTCCATTATTGTAAGAAATTATCAAACATATTCAGCTTTGCTCTGACCTGAATGGCCCAGTCTCACTAGATCTTGGCCTGCTACACAGGGTTGGCCCTGATTAGTACTTGGATGGAGGATCACCAAGGAAGTCCAGGGTCACTTCGCAGAGGCAGGCAATGGCAAACTACCTCTGAATGTCTCTGTCCTTGAAAACTCTATGGGGTAGCCCTAAGTCAGGTGCAACTCGATGGCCCTTTCCACCACTGTTCAGCTTCCCCATGTATTTCACCTACCTTTCCCAAACTTTTTATACATCATTTTCAAGGAACTGCCCAGCTCCTTGAAATCATATCTTTCCCTGTGCTGGGCGGTTAATGCCCCAGCTACCATAAGTCAGTAATAAATATCGTCACTCTTTTCCTTTGTTCCTAAGTCTTTTAAGTATCCAAGAAGAATAATTTATGATCCATAGGGATGACAACTCCAGCCAATGTCTTAACGCAAAGGCCTCTTGGAGAAGGGCTATTTAGACCTTCTCATATTGTCCTGCCAAAAAACAGCCACACTCTCTGGGCTCTTTTTGTAGCAGGAACTCCTTTGCATATTAGGCCACACACCCCTAATGTAGCCAATCCTCCCAGAGCTTACAGAGCTCTTCTTACAGGAGCTGCGGTGGCTCAAGTGGTTAAGACGCTGAACTGCAGGCTGTGGAAGGTCAGTAGTTCAGCAGTTCAAGACCCGAGTGTGCCACATGACGGAGTGAGCTCCCATCTCTAGTTCCAGCTCCTGCCAACCTAGCAGTTCGAAAGCAAGAAATTGCAAGTAGATAAATAGGGACCACTTCAGTGGGAAGGTAACAGCGTTCCGTGCGCCTCGGTGTTTAGTCATGCCGGCCACATGACCACGGAAACATCTTCGGACAGCGCTGGCTCTTCGGCTTTGAAACGGAGATGAGCACCGCAACCCTAGAGTCGGATTCGACTGGCTTTCAAGCAAGGGAACCTTTACCTTTTACCTGCTACAAAAAGAGCCAAACTGCTTTTACCTCAGCAGGGGAAACGTATATGTAATCATTTCCCCCCCCCCCCAACAAGGGGCAAAACAGCTCAGTAGGAGACTTGGCAATTTAAATGATCCCTCCACCTCACCCCAGTCCCCACTCCACCCCACTTTAAAGTCTTCCACTTTCAATAACAGCCCTAGTGATTGTAAGGCTGCCAACTCAGAAATCATGCTATATTGTTATTGCTTCAGAAAGTCCTGGCACTCAAAACACCTCAGTCCTGGTTCAGACAGATAAGCCTTGGTACATCTTTCAGTCACTTGTCAGGGTGGGTGTTAGGAATTAATCACATTGGGCAGCTGTGACAGATTGCACATGAAAAGTAGGTTTTAAAATGCTGCTATTTTAGAGAGGCCGGGAGATTAGGAGTTAATCTTCCCTGAAGTGGAGAGCTTGTTTGATTGGCTGCTCTACATGCTCTCTGATTGGCCAGCATCAGCTGAGAGAAAGTATATGGTCAGCTGTATACTGGACGGAAATGCCTTTTTGTCTAGAGTCAGCAAGCCAATGAGTTGGCTTCTGATAGAGAAAGATGGCTGGAGTCAGTTCTGACAGGATTGGTTAGCCAGGCTCTTCTTTTGAGAGGAGAGAAGAGACTCTTTTGCCCTAACTGAATAAGAACTACTCTGAGGGTCGGGTTGCCAAGTTGATTCCTCTTACCGGCGGGGGAGCCTTGCCGGGCTCCGGGAGCTCTCCGCCGATGCGCGTGCCGTGAGCACATTACCGGAAGTGACGTGCTACGTCACTCACGTTGAGGGCGTGGCCCCAATCAACGGAGGGAAAACCATAGAGTTTTCCCTCCGACAATCGGGGCCACGCCCCCAATGTGATTGACATGGGTGCGTCACCTCTGGTGACGCAGTCACGCTGCGCTTCGGGGGGCGGAGTTCCCCCCCAGGGCCCGATTCCGCAGCGGTGGAAATCGGGCCTCCAAAGCGGGGGTTTACCCACCCCCACTTGGCAGCCCTATCTGAGGGAGAACTGTGATTCTAAGTCCAGAAGGCTAAAGACTGCTTTACACAGACATCAGTACTGGGAGAGAGATTTGGCAAGGGTGACTGGGTTGCTAGGCTGTAAGTCCCAGTTAAGCCAAACAGAAAAGGGTTATTGCTTCTTAGGGAAAAAGAATAATTACTGCCAGTTGAAAAGGGGTTGAGCTGTAAGGAGAACTCTGGTCTGTGGTGAAGGGAATAAGCTTTAGACACCTCAGGAGTTTGTAGAAAACTGTTTTCAAAAGGGAGAACGTTAGATACTCTAAGAAAGAACAAATCTCCACAAAACTCTGTGAAGTAGTATTGAAACTGCTGAAGTATACCAAGCAAAATACCTCTCTCTGAAAAGGTCTAGACATCTCTGAAAATAAGCTACAACAACACACTCTTGATTGTCTGAAGAATTTGTTCCTGTACAAAATATAACTTTTAAGTCAGTATTTCTAAAACTTGACTTCTCCTGTATATATTCCCTGCCTGCTAAATAAAAATCTTTTATTCTATTTTAAAAGTTATACAGTCTCAAGTGCCATTTCAAAGGGCTTAAAACAAGAGGGTATTATTATTATTGTTATTATTGTTATTATGCGGTGTAATCTGTCTTTTCTTTCCCTCTAGTGTTGTTTACAAAATAAGTGAGGAAAATTGCTACACTTTGGGTATAGCACTTGAGGCTGCAAATAGAGGCACTGCATACTGAAATGCTATGCAACCTAAAGAAAACCCCTCCCTTGTCAGGACTCTCTTTGTCAAGCTAAACTGAAGCCTTCTACTAGACATGCATGTCACCTACAGCCTGAAGCACTACAGGCCTCACACAATTCCTCCAGGCAGTCTTTTACTCACCCGCTAGTGTCCAGAACAGGCACAGCCCTGCCATTGCAACCTGGGACAGCTGTCTCTCTTCTCTCTGTGTTCACAGACCTTTTGCTTCTTGTCAGCGGGCTTGCCTTCAAAGTCATATGCTTTGCCAGGGGGAAAGGAATGGAGCCAGGCCTTCAGGCAGGGCTATGGCTGGCTCCAGCAAAACTTTGCAGGTTCCACGTGAAAGTGAAATAAAAAACTTCCCTTCCCTCCACGTGAATTTAGGAAGGTCAGCAGATGTCTTTTTCGAGGAGACCAGAGTCCCAGCACTTCTCCTTTTACTTCCCTTTTGCTCATTTTCCTGTCATGTGTTCCCAAAACAGGTTTGTTGTGCTACTGCTCCAATTAAACTCTAAGTGAAATTGACAGGGTTGCTGGCTGACCTGGCCTATCTTGGGCTGTTTTAATAGTCGTATGGTGATAGCCATGTATTTTAATATTTGTTTTAATATTTAATATTTGTTTTTACCTTATTGGTTTTAATGTTGTAAGTCTTCATGAGACCCTTCGGGAGAGTGGCGACTAAAAATCTAATTAATAAATAAAAATTAAATGGAGCCTTAATGTGTGGAGATAAACCTAGAAATATGATAGTGGGAAAGTCTAAGGTTACCAAAGCCCTAGAATCCAGAGGCAGGGCCTGATGATGTCATTGGGCAGTACCTGGCAAGGTCATATTGAATAGCAGTAGTACTTCTACTGTTAGCCAAATTGCCTTATTTTTAATAAAGAGTGGGGAAATATGAATATTAAATGGCAATAGGTATTAACTATGGGACCAATAACCTATGTATACCGGAGTCAGTTTACCCAGAATCCAGAAAATAGACGTAGAAGCTAGGTGACTAAAAGCAGTGATTTTGTACTAAGGATTCTCACACATACAAATATAAAATCAAGCATACACACAAGTAATACAGAACTAATATAGAAAAGTACAGAGATGGTTGCATTAACAGGAAGTATCGTTGGTTGGGTGATATGTTTACCTGTCTGACGAGATGAGTTGAGTCTGCAGCAAAAAAGAGAATAAACTAAGGGAAGGGATCATGAGTTGGCCAGCAACACATGTGGAAGGTCCCAAACTGCGCAAGGAATGGAACCAGCAAGATAGGGTGGGTTTAGGAGGATAGAAGACCCTCATTCAGGCCAAGAAAAGGGGATAGATCTTCTACTGAGAGAAGAATTTCCCTACCCAGTCAAAACAGGAAGAAGATGCACGGGAAAGCGGTCGGAGATGTGGGTCAAAATGCAGCTGCGCAGCAGATAGTGAGAAATTGAGCAGTACAACCGGGCGCAAGAACTGCTTTTCTGGAATCGGTCTAAGAGTCAGATAAAACTCAAGAAGAGTACTGGTGTGTTTAGAGAAGGAGTTTGGGTACTGGATAGAGTGTCCCAGTCTTCTGGAAGCCAAAAGAGTTAGTGAATGCTCAAAGAAAGTGTACTGGAGTGTTTGGGAAACAGTGGAAGCCTCTAATTTTAAAGATCTGAAGTCACTGTGAAAAGCTTATGAAACTCTCAATAGCCTGAAACATATGAACTAAAGTCTGTACATATACTGATTTACATCAGAGTTCTGTATTGAGTTATCTCAGAAATTTTACCCCTGATTTCACTGGACCTTTCCCCTCTGTGTTGAAGAAAATATTTTGTTAATTTGGGATTTCAAATGCATTGAGTGCCATTTCAGTTGTTTAAGTTAAAGGAGGCTCTCAACCCTTTCTTCCAGTCCCTGGGCCTCCAACAGCCAAAATGTCATGCTGGGACAGGGTGGGACAGCCACAGTTCTTCACAAAAGAAGAAGACAGATAACCAGGGTGGTTCAGTCAGAAAGGGAAAGGAAAATGGAGGATAATCTTGCCTCTGAGGGAGAGAAGTGGACAGGGGCATCATAGCATGGCTTTGTAGAAATGGACAATTTTCCACATTAAAAAGTTTCTTAAAGTGACACAGAAATTAACAATGTGCTAAATGTAAAATGTAGTGGAGCTTTTAGTGCCAATTATTACCTCCCACCTCCAATTTCTGTTTGCAGAATTTACCACAAGCGAGCTTGTGTAGAAGTCTTAGAGGAAGAGTTCACATATAGGGGTGAGCGGCCAACCCTGACATTTCAACCTGCTACCCATGTGAATGAGCCCTGCAAAATCTGAGCCTCTGTCAAAGCCTGAGACCTCACAAACCTAGGAAAAAATGGGGGGGGGGCATTAATAAAGCCTTGGAATGTGAGGGTGGGTTACGGTTGCCAATTCTGGGTTTGAAAATACCTAGAAATTTGAGGATAGAGCCTGGGAAGGTGGGATTTAGAGAGCGGGGGGACCTCAGTAGCAGGCGTGTAATCTATGGGGGGGCGGAGGATCTTCAGCCCCTCCCGAACTTTTCAGGAAGGTGCTCAGCCTCCCCCGGGGACAACTGTCTGATTCCCTCCAGCCACTATGTTCAGCGCCTGGGTTGGGACAGGGAGGGAGGGAAGTTAGGGCGGGGGCTTGCTTCCTCTTGGAAGCGAAGCCCCACCCTCAGCTCCCAGCAGCCCTTAGTTCTGCCGGAGCTGGAGACTAGAGGGCTGCACATGGACTGGCTTCCCTGGTTTCCCGCACGCGCACACGCACACGAAGCAGCCGCAGGTAGGAAGCGTGCCTGCCCCGGGCTCTCCGGCCGTTCACTGCCTCCCTCCTCCCTGGGAGCGCAGGCTCGTCACCCCCTTTTTAACCCTCCTCTGCAAGGAGCAAAGCGGGCAGGACGGGGAGCCTTCGTGGGTGGCGATGCACCTTCCTGGCTGACACTCCCCACCACCACCATGGAAAATTCTCATTTCCTTTGCACCCGTTCTGGGTGCAAATCAGGGAAGTGAAAGTGCATGGGGGAAGAGTCAGTAAGGGGGGGGCTGCAGATTCCCATTTCCAGGCAGAGTTCTCCCTGGGCAACCCCCTCCCTTCAGCCGGGCAGCCAGCCGAGGAGAATAATTTGGGGCGGAGGGCTTCCCCCCCATGCATGGGGGAAGAGTCAGTAAGGGGGGGCTGCAGATTCCCGTTTCCAGGCAGAGTTCTCCCTGGGCAACCCCCTCCCTTCAGCCGGGCAGCCAGCCGAGGAGAATAATTTGGGGCGGAGGGCTTCCCCCCC